CCCCAAAACCCCAAAACCCCAAAACCCCGCCATAGAATAAATCTAAAGTTAATATTTACTTATGAAATTAAAGTTTTTGTTAATTAAGTTAATCAAGTATTCATCAAAGTTAAATCTTGTTTTATCTTCTCAGCTCATCTAAAACTCCTTATTTAATAAGGCCAAGGGCTTCCTCTGCTCCCATTTATATTTCTATAAGCTCATTTTTTAGAGCTTGATACTCTCTATCCTCATCTTTAGACAAATAACTTAGATCCTGCTACGAATAGTCAGGTATCTTAAGCTCCTCAACTTTACTTAAATTAATTTAGACTTCACCAAAGTTGTTTAATTTTTCTGCTTCATCTTCATTTATCAATTTTTCAATCTGTTCTTTCTCCCATTTATATTCTGAAATTCTCTCTCTTCTTGGATTTATTCTGATCAGAGTGCATCTGTATTTATCATTATTCAAAAATGCATCTGATATTGATCTGACTAAGGGGATAGCGGGGCCAGCACCAATCTCGATTACAGTTTTACTCCTCTTCTCATTCCTATCAAGCCAGGAGACAAAATTCTTATTCATCTCTGAATTGAAATTCTCCATCCAGTCAATGTCATGCTTCATGTTTATATTAGGCCTCATAATCTTATTGCATTCCTAGCACTAGGGCATTACTCTTGCTTAAGCAACTCTATGATCAAATAAGAAGCTCATATCTATAAAATATTATAAACCTTAAGTTACTTTTTCTTTTCTCAAGTACATTGCAAGGCTTGCATTGCAAATAGTTCAGCTAACCTTTGATGTAAGCCAGTTTATAAGCGGGAATACCTTTAATTACATTAAAAAGAATTAAGCAATTTACCAGCTTTTTGGTAAAAATCGTCTATGCCCTCATGCGCAATAAAATAGTTTTGATCCTAACTCTTCAAGCTCAGAATATCATATAAATCTTAATACCCCTTGTGCAAAACTACCTTCTTATATTGATTATAGAGATCTCTTTAATACTTAACTTAAAAATATTATGTTTTTACCTCCATAGACATACCAGAAAATATCTGGATGCACGTCGAAAAATTCCTTTGTGATCAACTAATCATAGGTAATTCTCATTTTGCTATAAGGCTTTATACTTCATTAAATAACTTACTTCAAGATAGGATAATGTTACCAGAGACCATATGTGCCTCTAAAAAATGGGAGATCACAATCAGCTGTCATGCCCATTCCAGAAGTAACTAGTACAGTATGATTTCTGACTAATGCTTTGACTGCTCTTTAAATCTTGTACACATTATTTCCTGCAACCTCTGCCATTGAATTTATTATTATAAATTAGACGTATTAAATTTAATGAAATCAAATATTAATCATTTAAGCTTATTCTAACCGGATGGGGTTTTGGGGTTTTGGGGTTTTGGGG